GGCTGAATCTGATCGTCCAAAAACGGCGTTCGTCACACCAGATGGTCTCTATGAATTCACCGTAATGCCATTCGAACTCTGCAATGCGCCCGCCACATTCGAGCGAATGATGGACTGCATTTTACGCGGTCTAAAATGGAACATCTGCTTGTGCTATCTTGATGACGTTGTGGTCTTTTCACCTGATTTCACTTCGCATCTCACTCGTCTGCGTAAAATTCTACAGTGCCTTACAAACGCTAGGCTTCAGCTTAACCTGAATAAGTGCCACTTCAGGACTAAACAACTCACCATACTTGGTCATGTCGTCTCGAAAGCCGGCATCCTTCCCGACCCTGACAAGCTTCGTGCTGTTGCCGAATTTCCTAAGCCTACTACAGTTAAAGAACTACGGAGCTTTGTGGGCCTGTGCTCCTATTTTCGTCGGTTTGTCCGGAACTTTGCGTCCATCATCGCTCCGCTCACCAAACTCCTTGCTGGCCCTGCAGATCTTTCGGATTGGACAGAACCCTGTGACGAATCCTTTACAACACTGCTCCAACTCCTTACCTCACCACCCGTACTGCGCCATTACGACCCTACTGCGCCGACCGAAGTACACACGGATGCAAGTGGCGTCGGCCTTGGTGCAGTACTCGCGCAACGCAAACCAGGTTTTACGGAGTATGTGGTCGCCTATGCCAGCCGCGCCCTCACTAAGGCAGAAGCCAACTATTTTGTTACGGAAAAAAAGTGCCTGGCGATTGTGTGGGCGTTAAACAAGTTTCGCCCCTGTTAATACGGCCAAAATTTTGACGTGGTAACAGACCATCACGCACTCTGTTGGTTGGCTTCACTGAAAGATCCTTCTGGTCGCCTCGGACGTTGGGCACTACGCCTCCAGGAATTCGACATAAGCGTCGTCTACCGATTGGGGCGAAAGCACTCTGACGCAGATGCGCTTTCACGATCACCCGTGAAATCTGATGATACGGAAATATCAGCCCTTGACCTTCCCCTCTCTGCCGTCAGCGTCACAGACATGTCATCCGAACAGAGGAAAGACCCTTGGATTGTCTCGCTCTTGAATATGCTTTCTGAAGCATCAATATGCTTTCTGACGCATCAACCCCACTACAATATATATATATATATATATATATATATATATATATATATATATATATATATATATATATATATATATATATATATGTGCAGAAGAATAATTTTGGTTGCCGCAAGGCTATAAATATGAAAGTAGATGCGCTTTAGTCAACTCGAATGAGTACATCAAGAAAGTTTATTTCCGTGTTAGAGTAGGAGTGTGTAAAATAAATGCTGGGGTGTACCTGGTTGAATGCCTGTATGAATTTGAGAACTAGTTTTCCGAATGGGTCCAAATTATGAATATATCATCTAGGTACCGTTTATAGAATGATGGTTTAATATCACAAGATGAAAGAGAGTCCAATTTTCTTTCATGGCTGGTTATTTTTTCATCCACATTTCTTTCTTCTTTCTTCTTATTTACATTCCATTGGTTCTAATAACTTTCCTGTACATTCCTTGGTATTACTGTCTGTTAGATCTCATTATTATTGTGTTAAAACACGGAAAAACGAGCCCTTAAGTATACACTTCTTTCCCTTATTATATATATATATATATATATATATATATATATATATATATATATATATATATATATATATATATATATATGTATATATATTAAAGAGATCTAACAGACAGTAATGCCAAGGAATGTACAGGGGAAGTTATTAGAACCGATGGAATGTAAATAAGAAGTAAGAAAAGTGAATGAAAAAGTAACCAGCCGTGAGCAGGAAACGAACCTACGACCTTCAAATAACGCGTTCGATGCTCTAACCACTGAGCTATCACAGCGGCCTTCCCTCCATCCACTTTTTGGGTTTATATGTGAATTTAGAAGTAGGAGTGACAGTCAGCGCCATCTATAAGCCGAGCGACGAGTGTGAAAACACTCTTATTCGCATGTTTGGCGTCACGTAGCACGTGAACTTATTATGAGCGGGCAGCTGAATGAAGAAAAAACATACAGCAAAACACGCAGTGAACAGAAGAAATAAATAATAATACATGAATAAAGAGATACAAAGGAGCAGAAAGAGATACAAAATAAAGAGGAAGGGAGAGAGGCAGAAACTCACAAGAAAATACACAGAAAAACGGAGAGCAGAAAAGAAAGATAAAGAAAAAAAAAAGAGAAGCTAGGAAATAAAAAAATAAGCAGATATAATGAGGGAAGAAAACATAAATAAATGTAGAAAGAACAGGCATGAGAAATAAATAGAAATAAGATGACAAGTAACAAATACCAAAACATAGGCAGATCCTAAGTATAGTGCGAATCTATGATATGCGAAGCACGAATGAGGAAGGTTCATAAGTCACTTTAAAATCAACGCAATGCTACGAGGCGGACGTAAATTATGCCGTACATGGCTTCCATATCATGATTATCATGTTTGGCGTGTCATACGCCTTCGTCGTCTATTCACGTCATGTGATAACAAATTTGGTATATGTTGAAATATCAAAACGGCCACGAGTGCACCATGAGAGTAGCATGCAGTCATGTTTTACATGACATGCCTTCCATGATTATCATCTTTGGACGTGTCGTTGACCTTCGCCGTCCATTCGCGCGACGTAATACGAAATTTGGTATTTGTGAAGCTAGCCAAACGCCCGCAAGTGTATCATGAGCGTAGAATGTAGTCATGTTACATGGCACGTATCTCATGATTATCATGTTTGCACCAGTCACATACTTTCGTCATCCATACGAAGTTCGCAAAGAAATGCATTGATTTAGAAAAGAATGAAGAATTAAAGCACCATCTGATGTAAATCTGCTATAATATAAAACACTAATGAGAACTAAACACGAATATGCATGCATCGTTTGGGATCCGTATACTAAACTAATATCAGTAACCTCGAGAGAGTGCAGCGAAAGGCGATAATATTTATATTTAACAAATTCTTAAGACAAAATTAACCCACCGAACTCATGAAAGGTAACCATATTGAACTACTCGAGATCAGAAGACTGAAGCAGAGACTGGAATTTATTAAACTACTTTGCACGAACAATTCACCACTAGACTCATCTCTATATCTATCGCCCCTATTAACCCTATCCACGCGTCACCATATACAAGATGCATTAACACGCTGCTTCGCAAGGACGAACCTATTTAAAAAAATGTTTTCCTCCGTACAATACCCAAATGAAATAGTGAAATCGAATCGACACTATAATGCCGATTATTATTCATTTCTTTGTATAGCGTTTCGCCAGACATATCGACTCCATTTCTGTATTATTTTTCTTATTTTGTTTGCCACTTTTTTCAATATTGTGGGCATTTAGTATACAAATCCGCTTCATCTGTACATTATCATCATTATCATGTGTTGCTCATGCATCCTCATCATTGTCACGTAGCATGATCCCCTTGGTTCGTTCTTCTCAGCTGTCAGCTGCCAGTTCCTCGGTCCTAACAAAGATATTCCAAACGAAGACTTCATAATATGTTCACTGTTGTACCTTTTTATAGCCCTCTCTGCTTGGACTACGTGCACGCAGTATTTGATAAATAATAGATTAGTTAAAGAGACAGTCATATCCTTTATCTATCTATCTATCAATTCATTCATCAAGTCACCGATTGTAAAAATAGGCTTTGAAGTGATTTAATGCTCTATTTAGAACATTTTGAAGTAGCGTAAATGTAGAAAGTTGAATTTTAAGATATGTTTGCAAAAAGTCACTATTACGCCGAAGGGAAAAGCAATGAATGCGATTGCAATAACTTGGAATGTAACGCTGCGAATAGTTAGCAGATCGAAACGTGCGGCGCGCTGCTCACGCACAAATGACGCTCGAGAACAACACACACAGGATGACAGCTAACTAACAACCTTTAAAACTCGACGCTTAATGCGCTGTTTAAACAAAAACGACGTAATAAACGTAATCACAGGTACAGATATGAGTGCGAACTTGCGAGTGCCCCAGTTGTTACATCACTGAGCTTGAAAAGCGCGCTCTTTTCGCAAACGGGACCTGCCCAGCGAGCGAAGTTGACCTTTTTGACCCAGGAAACTAACGCAATCCGGTGAAAGGCCAAGGCACATGATTCTCCCCATTGAAGGATGAGTGCGAGCGTACAAGCATCTAACCCCCGCCCCCATGCGTGGGGCAAAGTACACGGGGGAGATAAGCACGCGTTGGTGCATAGCGACGAGCTGGGTGCTGAACACGGGCAGCCTTTTCCCTTTCTTGAGTTTCCCTATATACTATACATATACGGTGCATGACCGGAGCGGTGGCAATGGTGAAAACCAGCCAAAACTGTCCATATAATTGCTATCGCAATAATTATTTGTACCTACGCCTTTTTGGAAACTCGTAATATATACTCAGATATACTTGTTGATGTAAGCTGGTACAGCTCAAAAATAGGCATAACTGCAGTTGAAGAGAATGGAGTAATGGTTTTGGTTGTAAAGAAGGGAGGGGCGGTGACTACATTTGTTTACACGAGTTTTTAAATCACCGGCCTTGGACTAACCCACAGTATCAGCTCGGTGCTCTCTTTTCACCGCTATCTACAAGCTCATGCAAAGGGCAATGGGTCTCAAGTGTTATCTGAATACTCGTGAGAGTATCGCGATCCCGCCAAGGGTAAGGCGATACCCAAGGCTGCGTGCAAGTTCTGCGGACTAACGAAATCACACAGGCGAGTCGTCCACGCGGAGAGCTTGAATCAACAAACAAGCGGGCAGAGATTTCGGTGAACCGGTGTCATTTTCCTGGTCACGTGGGTACAGACGCACCACAAGGGTGTAGCAACGACTGTGGTGTTATGATAGACCATGTCTGCCTATCGTGGAGAAAGGAGAGTGAACCAGATATGCTGGCTGGCTGCCACTCAGACGGACATCACAGGAATGGACATGCAGCAACACTGTCACATAGGTGGTTTGGTGCCTCGCGTCGCACGACCAGAGTGCAAAGGCGGATAGTGAAACGCGACTGGGTGCTGCAGGGCTTATTTGCGACAGAGTGACGAAGCTGCGGTCGTGGCGTGAAAAATTGTCGGGAAGGTGCACCTCGAGGGGACTTGCACTATATAGAATAAGCTCTGTATCGGGACACCGAAGGTCCGCTTCGAGAATGCGTGGTGTGCGAGCACTATTACATCCGCGTCTGCGACGTGCTGCTTCAAGCAGTTCATGTAAGCGGGACGCTCTGGGATTTTCGGACTACAGCATGGCGTACCAACACAAGAGCCTGTGGGAGCTGGTGCGAGCTCTGGGCGTGCTCAAGGTGTGCTCGTACGACTGGCTGGTGGACAATAGCCAATGGGTGAGCTCAACGACTATGACAGCTGCAAATAAGTATACCTATAGCTGATGACAAGCTCGACGGATTTAATTGCTGACGGTTGTCCCGTCCGCGATGCCCTCTCCTCGACGACCGCTAGCCGATCAGGGCGCCATTCGCGGACTTCTGTAACTTTCCCTCAATTTTTACTTTTCTCCATATTTTTTTCATTTCCTTTTCAAACCTTCCTTTGTGAACGACTGCGGGGTGTCGCACTTTGATGCAGACAGTTGCGGGGTCATTTTTCTCTTCATCTTCTCTTTTAGAAATACTACCCACCTCTCCCTCCACGACAAGCTAAAAATAAAAAAGTATACCACTATCTATTAGCGTTATTTGCGTCCAAGTAGAGCATACCTTTGCTGAGACGCAATGATTAGGACAAACCAATACAAAATTCAACTCTTGTCCGTACGTACACATCATTATCTTTGCCGGTCGTTATTCAATGGAGTTGAAGTTCTTCATTGTGCTGCGTTTGGCTTGCTACAATGCGGCCTCGTGTATGCAGCCTACATTATTTCTTCAGCTGTCAACTTCTATAGAAGGAGCAGGTGTCGTATAGTGTTGCCCACTACAATGTGTTGGCACGTATCTTATAGCAGTATGTGAAACTAATTTTGGGATGCAATCGGAGACAGAAACGAGGGGTGCCAATGACGTGAACGATGACTTGCAGGACTGGCTACGTTTTGTTATTTTGTAGATGTGTTTTCTTTTTTGTAAGACACAATGAGCATGATTTATAATCAGTGATAAATTCGTGAATAGGCAAACAGTACACCACTCAAGTGGAGGCGCACACACAGATAGAGCTCCTACCCATGATACGGCGTTGATAGAGAAGGGGGTCACAGAAGCCTACAAGTTCAGCTCACGGTCAGCAACGACCGGGAATAGTAGCGAATCACATTAGGGAGAAGCCGGGCCAGAAATACTGGCTATATTTCTCGGCATTAATACGAGTCACTGCCCTCTGCCCAGGTGTGTTTCTGGTGGATATCATGCGAACATACTTTGGATGGATGGATGGATGGATGGATGGATGGATGGATGGATGGATGGATGGATGGATGGATGGATGGATGGATGGATGGATGGATGGATGGACGGATGGATGGATGGATGGATGGATGGATGAATGGATGGATGGATGGATGGATGGATGGATGGATGGATGGATGGATGGATGGATGGATGGATGGATGGATGGATGGATGGATGGATGTATGGATGGATGGATGGACGGACGGACGGATGGATGGATGGATGGATGGATGGATGGATGGATGGATAGATGGATGGATGGATGGATGGATGGATGGATGGATCGATGGATGGATCGATGGATGGATGGATGGATGGATGGATGGATGGATGGATGGTGTGAGACACATTTTACCAAAACCGCGCAGCTCCTGACCATGGGTGAGCGGGTTCTGGGCCGCCATCTCCTGGGTGCCTTGGTGGGCCCCACTTTCTACCGGCAGTTCGTGGGCGGAGCCACACCGCAGGAGATGCACACCTGCGTGGATAGACTGGCCGCTGCTCGAGTGCGCACCATGGTGGCCTGCTCTCTCGAAGAGGAGGAAGACGGCGCTACGAGGAGAGGGGCTGCTTCGGCATCGCTGAGGTAGCGATGTCACCACACATGATTCCTTGCTCACCTTCTTCAGGACTTCTCATATCTCCCAGTGCTACAGCTATGAGAGTCGACGTAGTATGTCGAGCACAACGCTTTTTACTGAGACACAAAGCGCATGTTTCGGAACGGACTTTCTATAAAAATTATAAGACAAACCGAAAATGAAACAGATGGGGCTTTAGCTAAGTCCGCCCATTAGCGAAACAATGAATACCCCAGGTATTAGGTAAACGGAATCAGATGGTATGCCATGGGTATTTGCCGAGAAAATCAAACCGTCCTTATTTTAAATAATTTGTAGCTTTCTTGTGATTTGCAAACAACATATACGGCACGTTGCTACAGCGCATGCGTGGGCTTTATTCACGCAGGCGCATGGAGATGTACAGGCGCAACGGTGAGAAAGTCCTATCGTGCCTACGCATGACGTCGCAGTTGCACTCGGAGTCACCCATGATGCAGGTCAAGATGAGTGGACTGCTGCCACCCAAATTATTGGTATGCATCTTGACGTGTTCAACGTGGTTCGAGGTATTGGACGTGGGCGGATATTTCACAGCTTAAATGTACTCGTAATTCATCAAGGCATGAGGACGACGCGATAGATGCAAGGATTTCATGAGGCTGCTTGTATAACCGAGACACGCGTTTCATACCTCAAACAATTTGTCGAACTACTTTAAATAGCATGGTCATGAATCTTGAATATCGTTCGACGAAACTTGAAGCTCGTCCTTCAAGGAACACGAACCAGGATTCTGATGTGCGAAAAACCTGAATCCGCGTATTTGTGGGGCACACTAACGTAAATATAGGGGGGCGGGGAGGTTTTACACTCTTCCCCCTAAATCTATTATTTTTGCATTTTGCGAGCGCACACACATACATATGCACACAATAACATGAATAAAATGATTGACTCCCCCCCCCCCTATAGAAAAGAAAATTATTCATGGCTAGACCCTTTGGATGCGCGTAGCCATATAAACTGGGTTTGCGGCTTGAGGTGGTCTTGCGGCTTCACTGGTTTGTGGCTTCGCGTGGGCGCATAATTTAGCGGTGGAACCTTCTTGTTTTTTTTTTCTTGCGTGTATGGGACCGATTAAGAAAGCTCCAAAAGGTGGGAATCTACGTGTTCTCACATATGCACAAGGTAAATTTTTCCCCTTCTTTGTAACTTTCACAACTACTAAGCCTAATAAAATAACTCAGACCGAGTCACTTATTGAAGTATTTGCACGTAGTGCCACACAGAGAACGTAGTAAGCTGGGTGTGCTGTCGAAGAAAATATCTTTCATAAGACATAAATAAATATGTACACTGAGAAGTTGACAAGTGACTGGACGAGTCGGTGCATGATAAAATGATATTGGTTTAGCGCAGCTCAGTTTGAGCGTGAAGGAAAGATACTATACAGTCAAGAAGGGAGAAAAACAGACGGCAATGTGAACGTGACAGTATGACGACCCTGCGAAGGCCTGCGTATATCATACTCCCTAAAAATTTAAAAAATAACAGCCATTAGATTTTTGTACGTCGTGTTTTGCCGCGCATAGGACTCTCTTCAAAGTGACTCGTTAGCTCTCTTCCAGGTGTCATGACTCTACATCGGGAGCATAATAATAATCTCCAAAGAGAGTTCACGGGTGCTTTTATGGACACTCAAGTCCAAGAGAGGACAGAAAGAGTAAAAAAAAAGTCACTAACAAAAACAGCCAAATAACATTTTTTTTTCATAGAATGTAGTGATCGGGGTCATTATGTTCTCCTCGTTCGATGCAGGTGCACCTGACACACATCTTCGATTCTGCGGAGAAACCAGAGCTTATCGTCGGTTGCCTCGGAGACGCGATTCGCAGTGAAAGTTACAGGGTAAGCATGACGAAATAACAAGCAAGAACTGATTTTTTTTTTAATAGAAGCGTACCGACTCGCCAAGTCTGCCTCTCTGTTTAAGAAGCGATAGCAAACGAAATTTTTGCGCGCACAGGTGAGCGAGAAGAACTTTGGAGACCGAGTGGAATACTAACCTAACGGCGCAGTAAACGAATCAAAATTCGAATACATTTTTTGAACGGTTTGGAATAAAAAGTTCGGCAGATCAGAAGTATTTTGTGAATTCAATCTACTTTATGCGAAGCGTATATATATATATATATATATATATATATATATATATATATATATATATATATATATATATATATATATATATATATATATTGCCACAGGCATGGAACGAGGTTTAGCTATGCCAATGCGAGTATGTGCCACGGTGTGAAAGAAGAAGAGGACGGTTGGTGGGCTCGTACTGTAACGTTCGGTTCGGCTCGACGTCCAGTGCTGCTCCTGTGAACAGACGTTGTGGTCGTTCTGTGATCACGTGACATTTTCTGGTGGAGGTGCTGGGTAGTGTTGTATGCACTGCAATCAGCAGCAAGGTCCCGACACTAGTCGCGACTTGGAAGAACCAGCTGACCTACAGCGTAGTAGGCGACAACTAGGCCTACCTTCTGAATTCGGACCATTTCCACAACTCGGCAGTACTATGGCTAGTGCGAGAACGCAAACCCAAGAAACATCAACGCTGCCTCCTCCGTGGTTCTTCAACGTCCCGTGAACTCCGAAGCCGTTCCACGGTGACCCTTACGAGGACGTCGACGACTGGCTTGACAACTACAACCGTGGCGGCAGCGTCAACGAGTGGAGCGAGCAGCGCAAGCTTCGCTATGTCTACTTTTATCTCTAGGATTCTGCGCGCACTTGGTTCGAAAACCATGAAGCCACTATGACAACCTGGCCAGAGTTTTACAACCAGTTTCGAAATACCTTCCGAAGCTCTGACTGAAAGGAGCAAGCGGAACGGCTTCTCAATTCCCGAAACCAGCGTCCGAACGAGAGTGTTGCAATGTTCGTTGAGGACATGTCGCGGCTGTTCAGGTGAGCCAACTCCTCAATGACGGAAGAGAAGAAGGTGCGCCTCCTAATGCAAAGAGTGAAAGAGCAGCTGTTCGCGGGACTAGTGCGGAACCCTCCCAGCACTGTAGAGGATTTCCTCCGCGAAGCCACGACAATGGAGAGAATGCTAAGGCAGCGTTCGTACCCGTATGAGCGTCCTGGCAGTCTTTCGTCAGTGTCGTCGGCCCTGCCAACACCTGATGTCACGACTGTAAAAGACCTGACGGAGCTCGTGCACAGTATTGTGCGCGAGGAGCTGCAAAAGCTGCACGTGGTGTCTTCTCCGCCCCATGTTGCTGCTCTAACGGATGTCGTTCGCGAAGAGGTCTGGCAGCTGGTGCACCCCATGATGACTCTGCGTGCAGCCGAAGTCCAACCCATGACGGCCCCGCGTCCAGCCGAAGCTCCGCTATTAACGTACGCGGAAGCACTACGTACTCCTGCACCGGCTGTTGGCTATCCGTCCCGTCCGTCCACCCTGCAGACGGCACCCTCGTTCTACTCGGGACCACCACAGTATGGCAACCCACCCCTTACACGGAATTCCAGTGTATGGCGTGCTCCCGACAACCGGCCTCTATGTTATCACTGTGGTGAACCAGGTCACATCTACCGTGAGTGCGCCTACAGGCACATGGGTCTTCCTGGCTTTCGTCCGGATGCTCGTCGACCCAGAGATGGTGAACTGCCCCGTGCTATCACCGAATACTTGGCAAGCCAACCTCAACCTCAACCCTTCCGCGTCGCCAATCCCGCTCGTCATCTCCACGACGTTCCACGTCACCTGGCCAACAATCGACCTTTGCGGACGTTCTTGCAGGAAGATCGCCTAGATCCACAAGCCTGCGCCGGGGAAACTAAGAACAGCGACCTCTGGGGGTGAGGCCGCTGTTGATCGACCATTACAAGACCCTCCCCCGATTTGCCTGCCGACATCTGACGACATTCTTTCACCGACGTGTGCCATCGACGACAAACGGGTCTCTGCTCGTATCTCTGTCCTTGTCGACAACCACCCGCTGACCGCTCTGGTAGATACGGGTGCCGATTATTCTGTTATAAGCGCTGACCTCGCTGCACAGCTAAGAAAGGTAACGACACCTTGGGGACATGGAACCAACCTCCGGACTGCGGGAGGTCACCTATTGACACCGCTAGGAATGTGCAGTGCCCACCTCCGAATTTGTGGGTCGACGTACATTGTTTCCTTCGTTATATTGCGCGAATGCTCCCAAAACCTGATTCTCGGAGTGGATTTTCCCCGCGTGCATGAAGCAATTATTAACCTTCGCGACCTGCTCATAACGTTATCTAACGACCATACAGCGCTACGAAAGGATGCAGTTGCGCCGACCACAACACTTCGAATTGCTGACGACACCATCGCACTGCCGCCGCGAGCCAGTATGTTGGTAACTGTGGACAGCGACTGTGACAACAAGAGTAATGGCATCGTGGAAACTAAACTCTCGGTGCTCTTGGCTCGGCAGATTTGTGTCGCGCGTGCTATCGTCAAACTGAAATATCGGAGGACTCAGCTTCTGATCACGAATTTTGGCGGCCAGTACCAACACTTGGCAAAGCGAACAGCAATGGCGAACTTTGAAGCCATTGATGACGAAGAATGTTCCACTATCGCTCCGATTGCCACTGCTGCCGAAGGTGACACTGCATTAGCCAGTACAGTTGACGTGAATTGCCAGCTATCCTCTGTGAAGCAGCAGCAGATACGCATGATTTTACGTACGTATAGTGACTGCTTTGCGTCCATTTCCAAAATCAAGCAGGCCCCAACCGTGAAGCACTGCATTTTAACGCACCCTACCGAACGGCCTGTGCGACAGCACGCCTACCGCGTGTCGCAAAAAGAACAAGAGGCAATACGTTTTCAAGTTAAACAGATGCTCGACGATGACGTCATCCAACCCTCGAACAGTCTATGGGTGTCACCCGTCGTACTTGTTAAAAAGAAAGACGGCACTCTTCGATTTTGCGTCAATTACCGGAAGCTCAACAAAGTGACGAAGAGAGACGTCTACCCTCTCCCTCGCATAGATGATTCACTGGATCGACTTTGACATGCCCGATATTTTTCCTCAATGAATTTACGCAGCGGCTACTGGCAGATCGAGGTCGATAAACGTGACAGGGAAAAAAACAGCATTCATAACTCCCGATGGCCTCTACGAATTTAAAGTGTTACCATTTGGATTGTGCTCTGCACCGGCAACGTTCCAAAGGATGATGGACACCATCCTGTCCAGTCTGAAGTGGGAATCCTGCCTCGTGTATTTAGACGACGTCGTTGTTTTTTCCAAAACATTGAGCAACATTTACAACGACTTCAGTCCGTCTTCCTCGCTATTCGATCCGCAGGCCTATCGCTAAAACTGGAGAAGTGTCATTTTGGCTACGAAGAACTAAAGCTCCTCGGCCACCTTATCAGTCACGATGGCATTACACCAGACCCTGAAAAGACCATGGCTGTTGCTGCATTTCCTCCACCTTCGAACAAACAGGATTTGCGCCGGTTTTTGGGTCTCAGCGCCTACTACAGGCGCTTTGTCCAGAGCTTTGCCAACATCGCTGAACCCCTTACCCGTTTAACGAAGGAGGATACTCCTTTTGTGTGGGGTCAAGAGCAGAGAGCCGCTTTTTCCCAGCTTCAGCAGTGCCTTCAGAGTGAACCCTTACTAGGGCACTTTGATTAAGATGCCACCACCGAATTTCACACTGACGCAAGCAACATCGGTCTTGGTGCAGTACTCGTCCAGTGGCAAGACGGCGCTGAACGTCCCATCGCTTATGCTAGCCGCATTTTGTCATTTGCGAAAACTAACTACTCGACCACGGAGAAAGAATGTCTTGCTGTTATTTGGGTGATAACAAAATTCCGACCGTATCTGTATGGCCATCCATTCAGAGTAGTTACGGACCATCATGCCCTCTGTTGGCTGGCCAATCTCAAGGACCCTTCAGGGCGCCTCGCGAGGTGGAGCTTACGCCTTGAATAATTTGAGGTTACCGTCTTCTACAGGTCAGGCCGCAGGCACACTGATGCTGATTGCCTTTTGCGCGCACCCCTCGCGACGACATCGAGGGACGATGATACCGATGGCCATTTTCTTTGTGCAGTCAGTGAATCTGACTTGGCCCAACAACAGTGGAATGATTCAGAGATCCAACAACTTATCAAATACCTTCAAGGTCGCAGCTCAAGTCCACCATCGGCATTCGCACGTTCAGGGTCATTTTGTCTCCGCAACGACATCGTCTACAAAAAAAACTTCGAACCTTATGCGACTGAGTACCTCCTCGTCGTTCCACCAGGGCTACGTGCTGACATTTTATCTGCCTGCCACGACGAGCCTTCCTCCAGCCACCTAGGATTCGCACGTACCCTTGCCCGGATTCGGACTCGCTACTACTGACCAAAGCTCACCCAGGATGTCAAGCATTACGTTAAAACGTGCAATCATTGCCAGCGCCGTAAAGCCCCACCTGTGCGCCCTGCTGGTTTATTGCAGCCTGTTGCACCCCCGTCACAACCGTTTGAACGAGTCGGCATGGACTTGCTTGGGCCATTCCCGAAGTCACATGATGGCAAACGCTGGATTGTAGTCGCTACTGACTATTTAACGAGGTACTGCGAAACGAAAGCCCTACAACGAGACAACACCAATGAGGTTGCGTATTTTTTCATCAACAACATCGTCCTCCGCCATGGAGCGCCAACAGTTCTTATCACTGACCGTGGAACAGCCTTTACAGCCCAATTGATGCAAGACGTCACGAGACTTAGTGGAACAGCTCATCGCAAAACAACCGCATACCATCCACAAACCAACGGTCTGACGGAGAGATTAAACAAGACGCTCGCTGACATGCTATCTATATACGTCGACCGTGATCAC